CTCCAGACAAAGGAAAAACAGCTGGTCATGCTCCAGCTAAAGATTCCCAGCAGACACTGCCTCCAGCATTGAAGGAGACAAGACCCAGGAATCAGAACACAGCTGGCAACAGAAGTCAAAGGTGTCATCAGATTTCATATTGATCAAATCTTTTTCCTCATTCCAAAAATGTGACTCGTAAAGGTGGAAGAGAATGAATAATTATTAAATTCCAGGCTTATCACCATCCCTGAATTCTCAGAAGTATAGACATGGCGTGACCTCTGCTCACTACAACCTCCGCCTTCTGGGTTCAAGTGATTCTTCTGCCTCAGTCTCCCGAGTAGCTGGAATTATAGGCATGTGCCACCATGCCCAGCTAATTTTGTATATTTAATTTATTTCTTTGTTTTCGCAGTGACAGGGTTCACCATGTTGGCCAGGCTGGTCTCAAACTCCTGACCTCCGGTGATCTTCCCATCTAGGCCTCCCAAGGTGCTGGGATTACAGGCATGAGCCACTGCACCCGGCCCTAAGATTCCTTTTCTAGATGAAGAGAATGTTAAGTCAAAAGATGATCTGTGTCTGATGCTCTGAGTGTCTTAGCAACTACTTATAATTCATGATATGAAAATGATTTCTCTGGTCAGGATGGTGACTCAGGCCTGCAATACCAGTACTTTGAGAAGCCAAGGCGGGAGGATCATTTGAGATTAGGAGTTTGAGACCAGCCTGGCCAACATGGCAAAACCCTTCTCTACTAAAAATACAAAAAAATTAGCTGGGCGTGGTGGTACGGAATTACTTGAACCATGGAGGCAGAGGTTGCAGTGAGTCGAGATCACGCCACTGCACTCCAGCCTGAGCAAGAGAGTGAGACTCTGTCTCAAAAAAATAAAATAAAATAAAATAAAAAATAAAGATTTCCCTTACCATTTTTTTTTTCTATAAGACTTTAACTCCCATCATACAAAACTGATCATTCTCATTCTCAGTTTACTATTTTCCTCATGTTTACTCACATTTTAGGAATTTAGGAAGATTGATATTAGCTTGGTTTTAAAATTTGGCTAAAATAAAACCAGTACAAATTAAAATAACAGTGAGGTGTTTTCCTTTTTTTTTTTTTTTTTTTCCTTACTAAAGCTTACACTCACCTATGTGCACAAAATACTTTTAAAGTCCAGGTAGCTCATATGATATATTGTAGTATCTATAATAACTCATTCTCATTAATGACATCAGAAAATTTTGTTAAAAAGTCACATGTTAAGTTTGTGTTGGGAGTGGTTTTTGTTGCCTTGTAGTCTTACATCATTCTCTTTAACCTGGTTATCCCAGTCCTGAAATAAAAAAATTCTGAACAAACCAAAGTCACTGACAGTTACAGCTCTGTAGCCTGTGGGACAGTCATGATTTCATTTCCTTCTTCCTGGACCATCTTTCTCTATACTTCCTTCCTGTGATTTCTCTCTTACTCAAAACCTGCTGACAATCTGTGTTTTAAGCAACAGGAATTGTCCCCTACTGGTGATTTAATCATTAATTAAGTCAATAAGAATTCTGAATTATCCAATATAAACATTTTTTAAGCACCACTCTTGCCTGCTTTTAAAGTCAATTACATTGTCCAGACAATTTGTTAGTTGATATGACAGTTTCAAAGATGAACAGTGCTTCTGGTTTGGGAAATTTCCAATACAGCACTGAAATTAAGACAACCATAGACATTATAATAAGAGAAAGGAAAGTAATGTTAAATGACTTAGGATATACACAAAATACTCTTGAGGTAGAAGAGGAGAGATAGTCTCATAAGAAGAGTAGGATTTCAAAGGGCTGAAATGAGGTGGAGTGGAGGGAGATTTCAGGTGGCGGGATGAGTATGACTAAATTCCAGATGGTGGGAAAATGTTGTCCACAGGAAGTATAATAATAGAGGACATTTATTAGCTTTTTCTTGTATACCCATTTGTGATCTAAGGGATTACAAGTATTCAGATAATCTATCCTAATCACTAGCTTTATATAAAAAAAAAAAAAAAAAAGTGTTCAAAGAGTTGAAATCATTTGGTCATTTGTCCAAAGTTCTCAATGACAAGGAGGAAGAGTCGGGATTTTACCTTCGAATTGTTGGGCTTCAAAATCTGTCTCCAATGGTAAACTGAATGCCATAGCAAATACTTACTTCGTATTTATTTTAATCAGAGAAAAGGGGATATACTGAACACTTCACTAAATAAATACTAACTTGCAGATGGAAAACTTCTAGAGACAAATCACAATTCAATAAACAAATAAATTGTAGTATGCCAGACAGTGACGGTGCTATGGAGGAAAATACAGTGGGAGAGAGAGACAGGAAGTGCTTGGTGGAGGTTGGGAGGGCTGTATGGAGAGGGTTTTGTAAACTTAAATAAGAGGATAAAAAGCTTTTCTTGAGGACAAATAGATAAGAGATTCAGTAACTAATCCTGGAATCCCTTAATATTCAAAGCATATTTGATGAAGACACACGGTGGGGTATGATGCTGACCGTTCAGCCAGCAGCCCAGAGTCTTGACTAAAGAAATTTGTCAGGTGACTTCTCTGAAACTTTATTTTCTCCATTTCACAATGAAGGGGTTAGACAAGAGTCAACAGATATTTGTTGAGCATTTATGATGGTCAGAGTGGGAGGGCATGGTGCTAGGAACCAAACTTTGGTACAACTTTCAGACTCCCTTCCAGACCAAACAATAGATAATTTTAATGTTTTTTTTTTTTAAATGGATGACAGTCAATTAGTATTTCTGAGTATTCTGTTCACTGAAGTATACAAAATAGCACTGTAAATGTGAGACAGCAACAAGAAAAACACTGACAACAAAAGTGATTTCTGATTTGGGTAATTACAACTTGTCATTTTGTTACAGAAGCAGAGGCAAGTTATCTCTTAGTCATTAACACAATGGTAATGAAATGTGACTCATGCACACTCAGTAGGATGCCAGAAGGACCTGATGTAGGTGATGGAGATTTCTCCCTCCTGTGTGTTCACCTTATTAAAGAAAAGACTGTGCTGTTGAGAGTCTTCCTGAGGATAGGGTAAAATAGCATATATCTTAAAGGATTGTGGAAATTTTGTCTAGATCTTTTTTAAGTAAGTAATGGTACTAGTTAACCCTTATTGTATCTTACCATGGGTCAGGTAATATGCTGAGTGTTATAGCTGGATTGGTGTATTACTTAACCCCTATACAAAACAGAAGAGAGAACCAGTATTATCTTCATCCTATGCTAGAAGAAACACATTTAGAAAGAATTAAGTAGCTTATCCAAAGTGAGGTAGGCAGTACAGTGGCAAAGCCAGAACTGTCTGGCTCCTAAGTGTATGCTTATAACCGTGAATGTGGTGCTGGTTAAATTCACTGTGCTCCGTGACCACAGACTGAACCCTCAACCCAGTTGGCATTCTGGGGAAAAGTCACAAGATAGGTGAAGTGCATATCAGAAAAATAAGCTTCCTAATTCCATAAGCAAGAGAAAGTTTGGGAAAGAAAATAGAAATTTATCCATAAAATTTCTGGGTGGAAAACTATAAGTGTTGAAAGGGAAGTGAAAAAAGCATAAAACATTTAGTATATGCTGATGACTCAGAAAGCTATAGAATCATTTATAAAACATAGTTCTTTTTAAAGAACTTCAAGCAATATTTATTGGCAATTATGTGTTAAACTGTGTGCCAGATATGTTAAGAAAAAACATAGAATGAAAGGTTACAACACTCAATTTTTATTAAAAGTTTACGTTTATAAATTTAAAAATTCACATACACGCTTAGTAGTACTATTATGTATGAGAAAAATCCATATTGTTATTAACATTTGAGATATCCTCAATGATTTTTTTTTTTTTTTTTTTTTGTATTATGAAATCACACAGCCTCCTTTGAGCTCCTTGAAGGGATTTTTGTCCTCTGGGATGCCCTTTACCAGTGGATCCTCGCCAGATCGTTCTTCGACGTAATCTCTTACTTCTTCACAACATTTGGAAACCTTAAGGGGAAGGAAAAAGGGATGACTCATTTTGTTTAAAACTGAATACTCCAAATGCCAAGAATTATTTATTGCAATAAATTTTCAGGTTTTATATTTTCAGTGTGATTCTCTCTGCTTTCTGCCAATGCATATGTACTTTGTAGGAAAGAAGAAAGTTGCAGCCTTCCCAATCCTTCTGGATATATCTCCAGACAAAGGAAAAACAGCTGGTCATGCTCCAGCTAAAGATTCCCAGCAGACACTGCCTCCAGCATTGAAGGAGACAAGACCCAGGAATCAG